GTGTATTTGTGAGCTTCAAGTAGCATTTTAGATCCATCCATGCCAAAAGCATTGTTTTCCCATTAGCTTCAATTACATCTTACACGCGGGAATTTGCATTTGAATACACTATATTCTCTCCTGTAAAATGATATGACATACTAAGAACAAGTAGAGACTGGTTATAAATATCGAACCTAGAAATTCGCCAACACACTTCACTAGACGTTATGTAACGAGCATCCATAAATGCTTTAATTTCATCAATTTGTACAACTGTGTTTGGCAAAAAGGGGAAAGCACATGATGTATATTATTGCGTAGCTAAAGTGTCATTGCACGATCCTCGGGTTTGTTTATATACTTGAACAAATATTTGACAGCCCTAAAAAATGTAGTTTATGTGTGTGAATGAAATAGTTAATATATAGAAATAAATAACTCATATGAACTGTACATCCTATCAAAATGAATGGCAATGGTAGACATAGACAAATTTGACATAAAGTAAATAGTTGAGCTACCTTATAGCATTGAAGACACATATTGTATGCAACAAGCATAGGTTGAAATTATGAAATGAAGTAGAAAGATAGGAATCTACCACTAACCTTGTTTCGTTACAAAATTAAACATTGATATGAGCTCCAAATCGTAGTAATAGATATCGATTATAGGGTACAACCCATCGATTATCGAGCCCAACATCTCCGCATTTGAATACTCTACCATTGTTGCGCTGACGGTATTTGGAAAAACCATTGTCAACGATTGTAGTCTGACTACAAAATTCCTTTGGGTAATGTGCTACATTTACCATTTTTCATACATAAATTAGTCGACCGTAATGCCCCACATGGTCCATGCAAAATAGAAATAGTCACTATTACATAAAGCTCAGGATCAAAATCAGGATATAGAATTTCAACACGAATTATAGAATCAATATCAGCAGGTCCATGAAGCTTATTCTTAGGCGCCAAGAACAAAAGTAGATGTGCATGAGGGAGGCCACGTTTTTGCCATCAATTGCTCTTACATCTGTAAAATTTTAAAGAATAAGAATAAACATTAATTACATCATTAAGCATAAAAGAATATAACATATAGGGTTTTACAAAGGGGACATACATGTACGATTTTTGCCAAAAATTTCCTTATCCACGATCTCCGTCATGAATTTATCCAGTTTAATCTTGAAGAATCTTGCTATGACATCAACTCGATAAGGATCATTGCAAGTGAATTGTCTAATCAAATCAAACATGAGTTGAATCTCAGGCAATTCGAATTACATGCGAATGTAGTAAACAAATCAGGATATCCAATCCATTTGCAAATGGCCATAACATCTTGGAAATTTTCATACTTATATCTTGGACTTCTAGTATGTGATGCAGCTAGAATCACCAGCTTTCCAGATAACTTAAGATCACTATCACCTCGAAAATAAGAATCTACCAACCCTTGATAATGATGTCCTCTTAACTTTGATTGATTGTTACGCATCCAGTCCTAGCGTTCAACCTCAATTAGAGCATATACATTCACCACATATTGTTGAAACAATTTCTCAGAGAGTAACAAAGAATTTGATTTGGCAAACCTAGTTTGAAGACGATAGTTATAGTAATCACATTGTGCTACCATTTTCTCCCCTCCGCCATTTGTATTATGAGCATACCTAATATTTGGGTGTCACCCATCTCCATATGGAAATAAAATTGGATATTGTAACATCTTAAGACTGGGATGATACGAACTTATTCTTTCCATCTCCGAAGTACGGCGTTGAACGATTATATCAGGGGAGAATGTTTCAAGCCCCGTTTCATCAACAATCAACGTTGCAATCTCATTTGCAGTGGGCAAATCATATTCCCTACTATCATCCTCCTGCTTAGCGAATCATTAAAGCTGAAATTCATCAACACCAGAATGGCCTATCTTATCTATTGCAGAACAAAAAAGTATGTACCAGAACATTATTTGCATCAATTGTTGAAGAGCTTGAATAATAGATGCGCGTAAGGGGTTCCTATCAGGATGAGAAGAGTAAAAGTCCAAGTAATTTTGAACCTCATTATCCGAATCATCAATATATAGTTGTGCAAATTTTGGACTGACCTCTTCAGGAGGAACCAAGCTTTTAATTCGATGATGAATCTGACCGCCAATTGAGTACACATAAACACCCCTTCCATCATTAATGGAGTGATTCACTTTCCCACCAATGGAAATAAAACAAAATATACCATTATGACCATTAATGGGCAGAATTCCACTTCTCGTCCCAAAGCCCCTTTATAGTTGTATAATATTGGTATATAGATCTAGAACCTTGCTTACATGCCTGAATTTTGTCTTCGAGATTTGTAATTCATAAGGCATAGGGTTGGCCAAAATGCCTCTTCAATTCATCCCACAATGTCTTAGAATTAGTGTGATTCAACATTGATCTCCTAATCTCCTTTGTCATTGAGTTCTCAAGCCAACAAAGCACCACTGTGTTGCAAACATCCGACAGACTAAACAGATATGCATCTCTAGGAGGAACTGGGATTTGACCCATCTGTGAATCCTACCTTATTCTTAAGTTTTCAGTACCACTTGTATCGATCTACTCCACATCGGTAATTTGTGTCATCGAAAGGTCCATCAACAAGGGATCGAGACATGTTTTCATTCGGGTTGAGGTAGTAAAGGTTACTGAAAACAACAGTATCGAATTGCAGCTGATTTTGGTTAAAAGGTACCAAATCGAACACCTGTTGCACCTGATGTTGTTGTTGCTCCATTTCCACCAGTGTCGGTGAGTGACGACGTTTGAGGTGGAGTCTGTCCTCCTTACATCCTGTCGTAGGCGGCAGAAGAACCCTAGAGCTCGTGTAGCTTTGATACCATAACGATTTGGATTGATTTGTGCAAGAGGAAGCTCGGCTAACTCTGAGTCCTCTGTTCCTTTTCATAGCTAGGAAAACAATTACCACGACAGGTGTCCTTACAAGATTGGCTAAAAGTTTAAATAAACAGTCATACTTAACGGCCAATATCGACTAAGTGCTACGCTGCCGTTTTGCTTCCTTCTTCTTCGCAATTTTGCAACACGACGTCGTTCTTCTCTTCTGCTTCACTTCAAATCCATATCCAATAAGGATTGCAGACACTTCTTCTTTCCGTGCTCTTCATCAAACAACGGCAAGGCATTCAACTCTGTGATTGCTAGAATGCAATGACATTAAAGAAGTGAAGTTCACTAGGATTTCATATATTAAGGACCGATTCACTCACCTGGCCAATGCGTAAAATTGTGGTTCTTCGACTCCCCAGTGATAGACCGGATTTAAAACATCACTCCAAGCCCTGCGAACGCCAAGGTATAGCCCTTGTCCACGGATACATCACTCGAAGCCCTACGAGTGCTAAGGTATAACCCTCATCCAAGGAAGAAGCAGTTGCACGAAATTGCTGATAAGAACATAATTATGAAAGGATATTGAAAATGAATATGAGAAGGTATTCTCAAACCTTAACTATGGAGGACTTTTCACAAGTCCGTAGGCGCTAAGGTTGTTGTCAGTAAGCCAGCGCAACACAGGACGATCTGCAGCTTCCTTGTAGAGGAGGAAGGTCGGTGCGGCAGGGGAGTGGACAATGATTATGAGAGAACTTTGGGGATTCTTCCGACTGCTAGAACCACTTTTCACTTCGTGGGCCTTGACAATAAGTGGACCCGTTCAGGGACGCGAGAGGGCGAGCTGTGTACGATATTGTTTCCAAAATTACCCCCCTCCCCTGGTAAAACGCTATGGAGGCAAGGTTTTTGAAATGGGGTTCCTAGTTTTTGCTTGTTGCTTTTATATTATGTTTAGATATATAACTAGCCGATACCGATCACTCAAATAGTCCATTATGAGACCAATGTCCATCGACAAAAGAGGGAAAGAAAAGCTTCTAGACGATTACTTTGGCTCTGCTGTAGTTTTTGCAGAAGCAGCTTCTGACTGGAGCTTTTAGAAAAGTAATTTTCAAAAAAAGCAGTTGAGTGTTCGGCTGAAAAAATATTAGAAATGTTTTTTAACACGAGAGTTGTGTAAATTGACTATAAAGGACTTATGATATAAAATATGAATAAAATTTTTAAACAATAAAAAGTAGTCAAAATAGATCTTGTTAGATTTTTTAGGGTAAATGCCATATTTGGTCACTGAGATTACTAAATCGTGTCATGTTTAGTCACTAGAAAAATTTAATATCAATTTTGGTCACTCGAATTACTGAAACAGGTCATATTTAGTCACTCTCATATAGCCTCTAGTCACTCTCCCGTTAGTCACTCGAATTACTGAAACATGTCACCTTTAGTCACTCTCCCGTTAGTTTTTCTAGTAATGCGAGTGACTAAATGTGACATAATGTGACATAATGTGACATATTTCAGTAATTCGAGTGACCAAAATTGATATTAAGTTTTTCTAGTGACTAAAAATGATACAATTTAGTAATCTCAGTGACCAAATGTGGCATTGCAACTCCAAGGAAAAGACGGCGGATACCTTCACCAGAAACAAACCCTCCGACGACGATCGGTTCACATCGGAGACGATCTCCTCCTGGAAATTCTGATTCGCCTCCCGAACCCAAAACCCTCATGTCGCTGCAAAGCCGTTTGCAAGGGATGGAGGTCCCTTATCTCCAATCCCCTCTTCACTAGCCGTTTCATTTCGCACCACCGGAGCAGGAACCAGCAACCTCACAATCGATCATCCTGAGCTTTCTCCCCATGACCAGTGGAATTTCGCAGTTTTGGATTCCTACAATGACTTGGTTTTGTGCGGGTTTGATGTCGGGAATCACAGCGGTGGCGAATTTTACAGATCATACTTCGTGTGCAATCCGTTCACTAAACAATGGGTCGCTCTTCCTTTGTTGCCTGAATTACCAATGGGGTCGAGAGTATCTGCAAGGTTAGTTTGTGAATCCCGCATTACCAACTAGGGCTGGTAATCGGTCGGTATCGGTATAACCGGTTACCGATTTACCGGTTATCGGTATTACCGAGAGGCCAATTTTGATTCCGACTACCGGTACCAAGTGATTGTCGGTTAACCGGCTTACCGACACATCGGTAGCGGTTATCATTCCCGGTTATTCGAATACCGAAAATACTTCCTCTTTTCCCCTCTTCATCTTCCCCCTATTGACCCACTCTCTACAGAGCACCGAGCGTAAGTAGCAGGCGACTGGGGGAACTTCCGAGGCTGAGCAACATCTCCGGCGGGAGGTGACTCTCTATCTTCCTCGTGCATGCAGTCATCGTTGTTTGATTCGGCCGTCTCCGGAGGTGTTGCGGCAGCGGTGAATCACCAGATCTGCTGAATCTCTGGTCGGAGGTTGGGGTCGGGACTCGAGAACGAAGACGAAGCCATCGTCGGAGGTTGGGGTCGGGACTCGAGAAAGAATGCGAAGCCGCCGTCGGAGGTTGGGGTCTGGACTCGGGAACAAAGGGGAACCCGCCGTCGGAGGTTGGGATCTGGACTCGGGAATGAAGGTGAACCCGCCGTCGGAGGTTGGGATCTGGACTCGGGAATGAACGTGAACCCGTCGTCGGAGGTCGGGGTGGGAACTCGGGTGATTGTAGATTTGTTGATTTGGAAAGGTTGAACAAGGATGTGAGATTTTCTGTGGCCATTTGTGATTGGGAATCGTGAACGCATGTTGTGGATTTATCGTTTTAGAGAGGTAGAGCGTGAATTGGGGATTTTTTGTGGCCATTTGAGGTTGGCGATTTTCTGCAGCAGGTTGCTTAGTTGGGGAAGAAGATAAGGTTGTGGAGGAGAGAGGGCTTCTTCAGTTGGGGAAGAAGATAAAGTTGGAGAGAGAGGAGAGAAGGCTCTCTTGCGCAGCAGGTGATGGGATGGGAGGAAGGTGACGTATAATTATTTGCTTTGAATTAAATGGTACCGGTATTCGGTTTACCGGCTAATTGTCGGTATTTTACCGAAACTTATCCGGTATACCGCCTACTCCATTCCTCCATCCGACTACCGTTACACGCCGGTTAACGGTATACCGGTTACCGTCGGTTAACGGTTCGGTTTCCGGTTATACCGTTAACCGGATACCGGATTACCAGCCCTATTACCAACCCATCAATGGAGTTGATCAATCTAGTCACTAAAAGAGGTAGAATGTGATGAAAGTCTTGCATCCTGATGAAGGTCTTAACTCTACCGATGGCCATGAATGTCTGCATAATTGAGTCTAGTGGTAGAGATACCAGAAGTTACAGGCTTTTATACAGTCCTCACAAGGCGAGTAGCACTCCCGGAGAGTAGAAGCTAGTGACGAAATCTGGGCTGGATTTTCAACTGATGTTCCTCCAAGGTGTTGTGTTGTTTTCATTCTGCAGCTCAGTGTGAAATCAGATTAATGAGTACAGCAGTTAATGGAGACCTAATGGTGGGTATCATTGCTCGAAGAAAGCAGTTTTTTTACAACCTATTTACTTTTTTGACTAGCGTGGGCCCCGACCATTTGGCCGGAGGAAGTTGAGCTATGAAATTTGATAATGTAATGGGGTGTATAGCTTATTGTTGTATAGTTTTTTTTGGGAAACACGTGATGAAAATAGTGAATTTTAGTATGAAAGAAACATGAATGATGCAACGAATCAAAAATCAGCCTTATGAACCAAAATCATGTACCTGTTACCTTGTGAAACAATATGGTTTCTGGTAATATGATGAGGTGGAGTAAGTTTTCTAGAAACCGAATTCCAGAAAATCGAATAAAAATCGCATATTCCGCCGGTTTTCGGGAAATGAGCGTCTCACAATCGTTGCTAGCTTTTACTCGGTCCATTGGCCGATTAATTTGCTTTATAAAACTTTCATCTTGTCATCATTATGCTTTCAGGTTTTTTGCCAAGTCATGATAAAATCTAAAGAAATCAAGAATGAACAACACGATTTGGGATAGGAACCACTGTTCCTATATCCCTAGAAAATGGTGGTAAACACGGACTCACCTGCCAAACTGGTTTGGATTGAGATTTTTATCGGGTATCAGGGAACCATGTGATTATAAATTAGACTTGATCAAAACGGGCCAAAACTTGAAATTTAGCCTGTTTGACCGATCCATGCCAAACTCTAATTATTCTTTACTTTTAAACTTTCTATTTGAAAATAAAAAAATAATGAAAGAAAATAGATAATTTCAATTCGCCATTTGCACATCACTGATTCGGGAATAAAACTATAGAATTTTGAAAGGAAAATGAACTTGTTTAGAATCGTTTTAATGTTAAAAGTAACCAAATAGATCTTTCTGTTTAGTTTTTTACTAACAAATATCAAACGATTCCCTATAATATACACTATAATTTAATTATTATGATATCAAATAATTACATAATATATATTTGAAATGATAAAAATTGGAGTAATTGGGTTGGTCGAGGTTGAATCATTGAATAACTTTAAAATACATTATATTTTAGCCACTAAGATATAAAATAATAGCATAATATATATTATGCTAGAGAAAATAGCTTGTTTTAGAATCGCAAACCCATAATGTTCATTTGTTTTACTTGATGGGCAAATCATGTGTAGGTCAGGCTCATTCAACTCTTTTATTTTATGATTAGCGGTTAGCTCATTAGAATCCATGCATTAGTTTATTGTTAAATTTTTTTTCTTTTTAGCAATAAAAATGAGTATTGTTTTTGCATTTTCATATATATTTTACCACCACGGAGAAATAAAAGGACTTAAAGAAAAAAATTAACACTCCTGGACCCGTTTATATCCGCATGTGTACGGTAAGTTGGCCCGTTCCACAAAGGAAAAAGAAAAAAATTGACACTCCCTATTCTACCCTTCTTACAAACGCTCCTGGAGCAGGAAATTTGAAATGGGGGAAGGGTTTTTTCCTTTCTGCGATTATATGTTTTTAATTTAAAAAGATATAACAAATGTACTTAGTGTGATTGGTTATGATATTTGCTTTTATTTAAAGTGGTCTTGGTTCGAATCCTAATAAGTGTCTTTTCAATGAATAAAAAAAAGTAATTGTGAAAACCAAAATGTCCTTCCTACGTTCACTCTGAATGCAAGAAATTTGAAATGAGAAAAATAAAAATCTTGCATCCTGCGAAGGATGATGGCAATGGAAGGAAATTATTATCCATCAAAAGGAGCTTCCATCAAACCAGAAAACTCCTTAGAGCACATTACATGTATATATATATATTCAACTCTTGGCACTCGTCATCACAAACATTTGTACAGTATAAGCAATTGCACATTTCTATCACTGAGAGTTTACAAATTGAACTAGCCCAATACAGCAGTGTGTCCAAAGGCAACGCAAACAATAACTGCTCTTTTAAGTACAAGCAACAAACTGGACTCTGTAACCACATTAGCCCCATCATCAGGCTTCCAAATTCATTGCAGCTGTTTGGAGCTGCAGGGGATCTTATCATTCCGGTGGCGGATTGGACTGGATCTTCTCGTACAGCTTATAGATCAGAGTTGACTTCGACAGCTGAGCCTCTCGTTCCATCACTGCAATCACGTCCTTGATGGTTAAACTCCGAACCTCCCTAAACTGTGCTCCTGCAACCTGGCTCCTTCCAAATTTCCTACCACCAACTGAAACAGATCGAAAAGGGTTCGGAAAAACAGAAACCAGTCAAACATACAAAAAAGCAGTCACATGAGTTCAACATTATGAATTGCAAAATAGCTTGTTTTCTCAAACGTACAGGATCCTAGACCAGAGCTCTTCTTTGTTCCATCTTGACTGCCATTCCTTCCGAAGAATGATTGGGCCTTACGGCTCCCATCTTTGTTAGCTGACTGAGAAGAAGATGCAGTTTCATGACCACCTTCACGTTTCTGTCGGGCTTGCTCAGCCATGAGCTGCCATTTCGACAGCATGTCGTCTCCACCAACAGCAGCCCTGGCTGCCACGTTTGCTGCTGTTGTTCTCATTTTGTCATCCTCCTCTTTGTTCACCTGTGTAGTTTGAGTAAATGTTGAAATACTGCTTTTCGGTTGTATGTTTTGGAGTTCACTGAATGAAACTTCCACAGATTGGATTAACTGTCCTGAGTTACCTTGGGTGCTTTTCCTCTACCATCGTCCCTTTCCTTGTCCCCTTCAGCTCCATCATCATCCTCGGGCTGCACACACATATCACGCAAGGAAATGCAACATGGTGTGCATATCTCAAAGGGGTATATAGCTCTACAGATTGTTATCTCAAAGGGACAAAGTGAGAAGTATAATTTCTTGGTGAGGTGGCATGTACTTTAATGATTTGTAAGACTAATGATGATTAGTATTACTCAGAAGTTATAGACAAATTGTGTTTCGTTGAGCTTTTATCTCAAGTTTTGTTTTAAATTCTTTATCTTTTAGACCAAAAGAGAACACCCTAAGTTGGAGTAGCATCCGTTTGAGGATACCACATCACAACAATTGCAGGAACAAAACCTACTTCATTTACTCGCCGTAGCTTTTCTGCTTCAGCCAGCTTTCTGTCCCATTGATCCTTAGCTTTCTGGTTCATTGCCAGGAGTTGTTGCCGGACATCACAGGTAACCACAGTCCTGTGTCTGGACTTTTCTGAATCAACCCTCTGTAGAGATGCAATCGGAAATGGGAAAATGAAACAAAAACACAACACCAAAGGAATTTCCAAGCATAATTAACGAAAATCAGAATGGGAGAAAAAGTGCATATTAGCAAAGATTACGAAAAACTGACCTGTTTCGACATTCTGATCATGTTACTTATCAAACTCCGCATTCTCTCCTCCACGCTCTAAACAAACCTCTTATCAGGAATTGTCTAATATGTTCAAGTAAAGACGGGATAAAAGATTTTGCTTCTCACCAAGGACAGGCACTTCTCTACATCATTGCTAGCATTCTTCAGACCACACTTGGCCACTGCATGGGCATGTTAAGTACAAGTAAATCAACATTGCATAACTCACACTATTATCTCCTTCACAAAGACACAAACAAAGTACAAGTTGATGAAAAGAAGAATTAACTGATCTCTGCCACTTTTTTCTGAAGAGGGGTTTTCTGCAAAATCAGCCTCTCCTCTTCTTCTTGTACAACTCTTCTAGATGCTTCGGAGACACGACTGTCCTCCTTGTTTGCAGAGAACAATTGTTCTTCCTCTTCCTGTAAACAAAAATATGCACGGAACATTGCCAGATCAGGTCTTCTCTCATCTCTCATAGTCGGGGTTCAGGTTCAGGTTCAGGTTCAGGTTCTTATAGTAATCTGATAATACTCGTTACTCATTGGTCAAGCTTAATGATCGGGAAATGTTTTACCCGAAGATTAACTCCACTGACAGCAGTAACATCATTCAGTTGTTCAATGCTTTGATCTGAAAAGGCCCCAGAAACCTTCTGCTTCTTACTGTAGAAGAAAATATGGAGAGGTGGTTACTCAACCAAGTAGACCACTATTTTGGGTGCACTGATCCATAAAACGTTTTAGTATTGAAGAATACAAGAATGTGTGCAGCAAATACAAACTACAACAACATAATTGGTAGTAGCAAACTGACGCAGGGAGAAACGCAGCAAAGGCACAAAGCTGTTTGGCCTCAAGCACGCAAGCTTCGTAGTCCAAGAACTCTAGAGAAACTCCCTTCAAATAAAATTTCAATACTGGGAATAACGTATCGAACATGAGCCGTCTTTCTTACAGGAAAGAAATCCCTTTTCATAAGGAGAACTAAAACCTCAACAAATTAGGAAAGAGATAAACCTTTGCATTCAATAACTTTTCAATTAGAGGTAAAAAACCAAAAATAGGATTAGAATTCAATTAGGAATTGGAAGCTTTGGTGGAACAATTATGATGCCTCATCACAGACTTGAATTTTACCTTGCACCAGGTGGGGGAGATCCAACAGCTTCTAGTGGATTTTTTTTCTGCCCGACGGAGGGTTTCTTTGGAGGTGTTCTTGAATTTGTAGTAGCAGGTGAAGTTACGGGAGGAATCCTGGGGGCAGCCTGTTAAGGAAAATATGAGGCAGATTATCATTCTCACATTTAACAGTATATATATAATCCGAGCATTTACTGGCCTTAGCCTCCTCAAGGAAAGTGTCACTTGTTCCTTCTTGAGGAAATCTTTTATAGATGAAATACTACCTGGGTATGGTGGTCAGTCTGGGTTGTGACAGTTTGGGAAACTGAATTTGGGGGCACTGCATCAGAAGCTGAAGAGAACCCAACACCTGACGGCTGCTTATCCGAAGAGGCATCCTTGGAATTCCCCAAAGTTGCATTTCCTAGTTCAGCACCAGCAGATGACTCCTGGTTGTTACAGAACTGGGACTTCTGCGGCAGCTCACTAGCCTGCTCAACTCTCTCCTGTTTCACAGAATTCATTGGTTGGAAAGGGGCAGGATTCTGGTCCTTATTTGTTGATGTCTGCCAAGGAACTGAACTTTGTTGCAATGCTGGCTTGCTTGGATAAGGGGATAGAGGACCACTCTGCGCTCTATTGGACTCAACAGCTGGACTTTGCCTCTCCAATTTGGGCACGTTGAGGGAGCTCATTGCCTGGGTGGATGTTCCCACCTGAGTGGTAGCTGCACCTTGATGATGAATCTGCCTCATTTGTAGCTCTGAAGGCTGTGGCTTCATAGATGTGCCTCCTGAACCAGAATATGTGGGATAATTACTCCCAGCTCCTCCATACATAGGGAAAGATGTCTGTGGGAAGTGTAAATGTTGTTGCTGCTGCTTATTGTGTCCTTGTGTTGAAATTGAAGTGCCATCTCTATCTGGATTAGCAATGGGTGAAGACATTTGACTGAAGTTGACTGCACGGGAATCCACCTGTCGGGAATTCGGAGTACTCGTTCCAGCAAGAGCATGAGTTGAATTATCAACCTGCAGTTTGACTGACGGATGACCATTGTAAGTTGGGTCGGTGGAAGAGCTTGATCCCTTTTGATGAAGTACAAATGGATTGGAATCACCAAGTTGAGAAGAACCGGGACTGATAGGCATCCTAGTATTTGGTTGACGGGCTAAAGCTTGGGAGTGTAACTGGGATTGGTTGGTTCCTTGCTGCAATTCAGGTGGAAAAACTGGTGTTTATCTGATTTCCACCAAGACATGTTCTGACTTTCATAAAAAATTTCATACCTGCTCTTGCCACTGATTTACTGCCAATTTTAGCACTTGATCCCCAACAATATTCCTCATATGCCTGACGAACTGATCTTTTGGGATTTCATTTTTCTAAAAGAAAAATGTGGCAGAAAACTTGAGAGAATGGACAAGAAACAAAGAGTGAGAAAAGACATTCAATACAGATACCCACCCTTAGTTTAGTGAAGATAGTCTGAAGCTGCATCTCCCTGTCTTTATCAAGATGGGGTCTTAAAGTAGGCAGCAACAGCACAAATGGTATTTGCTGACCCTGATACCTTGAGTTAACAGTCTGTTCCATGGATGTCTGTGGGGGCATCCTTAATAATTGGGATTTACCAATGGGGTTCGGCAACCTAACAGGCTCAGATACTGAAACAGGACTTTTATCAGAAACCGTCGCCCCACTTGTCTGGGGAGCTTGAACGGCAGCATGTTCCACCTTAACCTGTTGATGCTCGTCTTGGGGTTGGTTCTTATGCAAAGCAAGGGTATTTTGTCCCCGCGGCACATTATTAAGTTGCTGCTGTTTCTCAGCTACAGATGATCGTTGATCGATCATCATAGGCGATTGATGTTGTTGTTGTTGCTGTTGCTGTTGCTGTTGATGTGATAATTGTTGTTGATGCGATAAATTATGTGGCCCCTGGTTGCTTGAGCCAGACGGAACTCGATCCTGTCCCATTGAAGGCCAACTTTGAAATTGCTGAGAGGAACCTCGGTTGCTTTCGCTTGGAAAAACTGCCACTTTATCAGTCCAAGCATCACAAAGATGGCTAAACTGAAGCTATAGTGGATAAAGAAGGCCATACTAGACCACTTAGTATCCTACTCCACTTATTTTCCCCCAACTCCATAGAGCAAAATTCCACTAACACTAAATGCAGTTAGCTAAGACTAGTAAGCAAACCCCTTCAACCCACCTGAGAAGCCCCTCCCAAAATCTCTCAAAAAACATTCAACCGTTCCCGATTCCAAAACCTCAACTCCAGAAAAAAATCGTCAACTATGAAATTCAAATGGTAATTACCCGTATTATGAGCTTGATTCTGAGAATTGGAAGCGTGGCCTTCAATGTCCCGATTGAGAGCTGCCTGGAAAGCCTCGACGTCGGCACCCGAATGCATCGTCTCATCCTGTGAACAAAGCACCAAGCAAATTTCGAAACTTAGATGAAGATCAAATCGGCTCTCACAAATTCACAACCAAGCAGCAGGCGAAAAATGGGAAGCAGAAGCCTTACCTCGTCTTCCTCGAGGAGTTTCATTATTGAAGGATCCATGAATGGCCGGCCTGTATACTATCTATATATTCACAGGCCAAAACTGGCTCTGAGCTCAGTCTGGGAATAAAAATGTCGGCGTCGGCAAAGAAGACGAACGGAAACTAGTAAATCCAGAGAGAGCAACAACAATTTCCGCCAAAAGCTTAGAAAATCAACGACGGAATTTTAGTTCTTTCATGAACGCGATGGAGAAGAAGGCTTCCAATCACGCAGATTCAGAAATCAGAACATCTGACTTAATTCTACAATTAAAAAAGAACATCTGTATTGATCACTTTACTTATAGAGACCCGGGATGGGCCAGAATAATTAAAGCCCAATATCCCTTATTTTAAAGAACCACCGTTATAAAGGGCCAGTGGGAAGCCCACATTGGAGTGCTCATTTACTGACCTTCTCATCGAGTCAAACCCCAGACCAGTCAAAATCCGCTAATCTTTTTTTCTTTCCTTCTTTCTTTTTTTTTTTTGTTAATTTATTTTCCGCTTCTTATTTGGTCCGGCTTTTTGGTTTTACCCGAAACCGGACCGTATAATTCGGACTGAGACCGAATCGGGACCGGATAACAAACAATATCATCCCATCTTCGGGCTTAGATTTGAGGTAAAAAACCGTTCAAGATGGAACCAAAAATCGGATAAGAGAGCCCAACACCCAAAATTTAATCAACTCCTTACCCTTTCATGCCTCAGGCCACTCAAATCCCCACAAGCCCAATCTAAAATCAAGACAGAATTTGGATCGGACCGGTTCAAAACAGGACTGGATAAAGACCGAACTGTATCCAATCCAATCTTTGGTTCCTATATTCTCGAAAAGACAGGACCGGATCAGGACCGACCAGTATCCAATCTAATCCTTGTTCCTTATATTCTCGAAAAGACCAGACCGGAATCAGATCAATTCGGGCCAATTTAACTGGACCGTATAGCCACCCCTACTTCTTAGTATCAAGAAAGGGCTGAAAATTGGCCTGACCCGTTCTTGACCTATCTGACCCATCTCTGAAGGGTCAAGAATTATAACTAACACGTCTCGTCCCTATCCCCTTTTGACCATATCTGACCCTCAAGGGTTGGGACAGGTCGGGACGATAGGGTCAGTGGGTCGACCTTAATCAACACAGTACTTTTTTACAAATTACGCTTTGGTATCCAAAATTATTTTTTCTTACAATTTAGTACTTCAAATTTATTTTTTTACAAATAAGTCCATAACTTTTGATGATAAAATTACGTTTAGGTACCCAAAATTTTTTATTTTTACAATTAGTACCTAAACTTTTAACAATTTACAAAGAGGTCCAATATGTTATGAGATATTTGTTATTTCTAAGGGTTACAGGGTCAAAAAGTGACCCGTCCCTAAGTTGTCCCTATTCGCCCCGTGTCAACAAATGACACGTCCCTAATCTAACCTTGTAAACAAACTGACCCGTCTCGACTCTCAAGAACGGGACGTGTCAATGGGTCTTCCGAGTCAAGCTTACACCCGAGGGTCACTGTCACTTATTGTGTCTCAAAGTTTAGATACTGTTAACTTTAATCATTAGTGATCAAATAGTTAATTATTAACCGAAAATTCGTTATGTCACGTGGAGTCTTGCGCCATGTGACTTAGATAAAATGAAATAAAAAATTAATTATTAACATTGTATTTCTTAAAAAAATCCAAACTAAAATTGTATATTTAAAAAAATCAGATAAAAAAGTAAAAAAAAAAATTTAACACCTTTATTCTCCATCGACTCACATGTCTTCTTCTTATATTTAACAAGAGAGACAGAGTTGGTCAAGGCAAAAACAAGAACATGCAATAGCAAATAGCCAAAGAACGGCGATTTGAGACTCAATCCGACCAAAGTCACCGAAGTTCCAAATTGAACTTCAGCCATCGGCGCCTTAACTACACATTGTTTCGCGAAAGGTAATTTCCCTTCCTTCAACTTCATCATATGACTTAGAGGACTGGGTAAAAGGAGATTTCTCGTCGCTTGACTCATGGAGTCTCCCAACTTGTTAGCAAACAAACCACTCGGTCCCAATAACTAGAGTTGTTAGGAAAGGGTTTGTTAAGCTTTTTATCTCCTACACGCCATCTCAAACGAAAGGCGACCTTTTTGGGTTTTACAGTTTGCACAGGTTGAACATATCATCCCTTGTGATGCTAAATCATTAGGCTTTCAGTTTGCACGGGTTAGCCATACCATCCCTTGTGTTGAACCATTGTTTAAATTAGGGGTCGTCGTGAGGATTTGAAACATTGGCCTTTTGGTTCAAGGCTCTGATACCATGTTACCGAACAAACCATTTAGTCCCAATAACTCGAGTTGCTGGGAAAAGGGTGTCTTAAGCTTTTTTTTTATCTTAATGACATGGACTGGATCATTTTGTACATACTCATTTTGTTGGTGTTATGTTTGGACCTTTGCCTAATACCCGTGTGTCTGTGGAAGGGTATTTAAGCTACCATGTTGTCGAACTCAAACCCTAGAGTGGTTGAGCGACGTCTTTCTGTTCTTTGAGAAAAACCTAGTGAAACCCATACCGAGACCTATGCTCTCCGTGGACTAGTCCCGATCTTCGGGGAAACCACGTAAATCATCGTGTCCTTCTATTTCCCGCGTTATCAAAGTTTTCATGGTATCATAGCTGTAAGGTTCCAGACTAATCTCACGTATTCATCATGGGCTCGAAGGACGAGGACAGTAGCGGCGGTAAGACAATTGTCATGGCAGACAACGTGATCCCGATAAGCTCTCCTCTCTATTTACACCCTTAGGAGAATCCCGCACAATTGTTTGGCGGTGATTTGCTGAATGATTCGAACTACAGAGAATGGGTTAATGACATTACAGAAACCCTAATCGCCAAGAATAAATTGGCGTTTGTTGATGGATCTCTTCCTCGCGCCAAAGCCGGCTCGGTTTTTCGGCAAGATTCTTGGGATAGGTGTGATGCGACTGTGAAGGGATGGTTGAAGACGGCTATGACGAAGGAGGTGCGTAACAGTGTTCGGACAGCGGGGACAGCTCACGTTATTTGGGCCGACTTGCAGCGCTGTTTTAGTCAAGGATCCGCACAGCGAGCGTACGAGTTGCGGCGTGGTCTGAGCTCTCTTCACCAGGAGAAGCTAACAGTTTCGGCATTCTACACCAAGCTCCACTCAACGTGGGATGAGATGCAGTCGATATGGGGAGTGTAGCGTTGCACTTGCGCCGGCTGCACTTGTGGAGGCTGCTCGTGTGATTGGATTCGCGAGTATCTGGCAAAGAAGGATACAGAACGATTATTTGAGTTCCTCATGGGGCTTGATGACGTGTATTCTGTCATTCGCTTGCAAATTCTCGGCACGAGACTGAATCCCTCCTTAGCCGATGCGTATCAGATGGTGGCCGCCGAGGAGCAGCACCGTAACATAGCCAGCACCCGTCAACCCCCTGTGGACACAGCTGCTTTCCAAATCCTTGTCAGTCGAGATCTGAAAGTGGACAGTGACAAACCTAAGTGTAGTCATTGTAATCGGCAGGGGCATACTAGAGATACTTGCTACAAGTGAAATGGGTACCCTCCTGAACACCCTCGAGCGAAAGCCAAATGATGATCCTCGTGCTGCCCCACGACGTCCCAAGGCTGCGCACGTCGAACCAGACGAGGGCTCTCCTATTCTCGGTCTCACGGCGGCTCAGTTCGCACAGCTTAAGGAGTTCTTGACTTCTAGTTCTACGGAATCATCGTCCGCACCCACGACACATATGGCTGGTAACCATTCTGATCCTGACATGTGGTTGATAGATTCAGGTTGTAACGAACATATAGTTCGTGATATAAGTTGGTTAGATACAGTTGATTCAGTACAGGGGCAGTCTCAAGTTCGTATACCAGACGGTTCTGGTATTCACGGATACACCGCAGCAGAATGGAGTTGCGGAACGTAAGCACTGACATCTCTTAGAAACCGCCCGGGCTCTTATGTTCCACGCTGGGTTACCGGTGAGGTTTTGGGGAGATTGTGTGCTCACCGCCACCTACCCGATCAATCGATTACCTTCTTATGTTTTAGCTGGCAAGACACTGTTCGAGTTTCTCCTTGGCAAGCGGCCGTCTTATTCGCACATGCGCTCTTTTGGGTGCCTCGCTTATGCAAAGGATACTCACCATGGACTTGCCAAATTTGCGGAAAGGGGGAGAGCATGCATTTTCCTTGGTTATCCAAGAAATCAACGGGGCTATAGAATTTATGATCTTCGTACACGCAAAATTCTAGTATCTCAAGATGTGCAGTTTGTGGAAAGTGTATTCCCATACAAACTTAAGCAGACGAGCACAACCTCACCTCTCTCCGCCATGCCACGTCCCGCCATGCACGTCCCTTTGTATGACGATGCTTCTCCTCTTGTGCCCGACGCCCCGCCAACTAATGAGGAGGATTTTGATTTCGTGGGTCACCTGGTCATGCCACTGATGATGTTTCTAGTTTGCCTACCCAGCCTGGACTTGGGGGTTCTCCTCTCTCAACTTCCCCGGTTCCGTGAGTGGACGATGCTTCTATCTCTCTGGATGATGCATTAGCGAGCGCTTCCCCGGAGCTTGTTGCTCCCCCAGCCCCTCGGCCTAACCCTCCTCGTGATCGTCGTCCGCCTGGGTCACTTGACATTTACGAGGTAGACCTTCCCAGCTCACATCATGTTCAGTTCCCTATATCTAATCATGTTCATTATCATCGATTTTCTCCTTCTCATACTGCTTTTCTTGCCGTTGTGGATTACTTGTTTGAGCTTCGCACCTATGCTCAAGCGGTTCAGTACGAGCATTGGCGAGAAGCAATGCGGAAGGAGATCGAGGCTCTACAGGCACATGGCACGTGAACGTTCGAGATGTTGCCTCCCGGGAAGCGTGTCATTGACTACAAGTGGGTGTACAAGATTAAATTCAAGCCGGATGGGACAGTCGATTGTTATAAGGCGCGACTCGTCGCAAAAGGGTTTATACAGCTTGAAGGGATCGATTTCCACGATACCTTTGCACCTGTCGCAAAACTAGTTACGGTTTGCATTCTCTTGGCTGTTGCTGCCAAGCAGGGATGGCCTCTGCACCAACTTGATGTGAACAACGCTATTTTACACGTCGACCTCGATGAAGAAGTTTACATGAAAGTACCTCAAGGGTTTGCTCAGGTTGGAGATCATCGTGTTTGTCGCTTGCGCAAATCACTTTATGGACT